TCAAATGTTCATCCGGACATGTCAATCAAAAACTGGTTAGTTAACTGTTAGGATTCGAAAAGCCCCGCCAACCCGGCACCTGCTACCCATTTCCAGGCCAGATTTCAGGCCACACAACTGCCTGTACTTTTGGGCATGCGCAGTAGGGGACCCAGGCAGTTTTCAAGCAGTGTCAAGATTCTTCAGTTCAAGCAGTCTTTCCAAAACTAAGGCAGTGGCAGCACATGTGTTTTATATTTCGGCGGGATAAAAAGAAAATTATGATTTAAACTTTTTTGCTTCAATTTTCAATTTTTTTCTAATTGCAGAGAAGGAATTTATTTTCAAGTTCTTCTCCATTATCACTGCTCCAATTGTGCTTTTCTTTAGTTTATCGGTGGCAAAAAAGTAAACTATAAATACAGTCATTACGCATTGCTCCTGGTTTCGTTGATTTCCAGCTTTTGTTTTTAGTGGATTTTCTGATTTGTGAGTGGGTGGGTGTACACATCTTATCTGTAGCTGTCATACCCCTCCACCCTCCACCATGCAGTGAAACTTTGGGTGATTGTTGTCTACATTTAGCCAGTGTAGACTTTTATCTGATTTTAAACTATTCATGTACACTGTACACTGTACAGCTTGCAGTGAAGACCAAAATTCCACACAAAAAAAATTAACTAATGTACAGTTCTGTTTTTTTTCAAAATTCTTTGAATAATTGTCAAAATCTATTAATTAATTAATTAATTATTTTTTTTTCAACACGTTTATCGGTTCTGTATAATGTATAATTAGTTTGTTCTCGCTGAATCTGAAATGTTGAAAAATATTGAATCTAAAATCATGAATTAGTCCTGGGCTGGGGAATTAGCATATTTAATTTATACATTGTATACCAAGCACCAGCTCATGATTCACTTATTATTATTAAAACTATTTCCAAGAATAAACTACCCCCCCCCCCCTCCTCGTCATGCCCATATGATGTAGAACCTATTGAGCCCCATGTTCTCCAATTCAATTATTTACACCAAACCAAATCATGCCATTTTTGGCAACTTGGAAGGTTTGAATTTTCTCTTTCCTTAATAGAAAATGAACAAGATATGGTGTAAAACATTACAATGTGAATTTTAGTAAGAACTTGTTAATTTATTGAAAACTTTAAAATCGATATTTACGTTTGTTCATGCAATCATATATAATCGAATATGGGCAGATCGATTTTTATAAAATATTTCTGTTTTGAAAAACCAAGAAAAAAATTCTCTTGTTCTTTTTTGCTGATAAAAATTGAAGGGAAAGAGACAAAATGTATATTTTTTATTCAGAATCATAAAATCCAAAATATCAAAAAAAAAAAAAAATAAACAAATATCTAAAAAGTAGTAAAAATGTTTTTACAGAGAGTTTAAAAAAGATATGGCTTCTTACCATGAACATTTTTAATTTAATTTTAAAATTCGATGATGGTGATGGACCAAACCTCTGTAGAGTAAAAAAAGTAAATATTAGTTCCACATTTATTAAAAATATATTTCGGTCTGGGTTGATCCTCGTCAGTTATAACGATTCTCATACTCCAATTAAACTTTTCCAAAGGTCCCAAACCTTCTCTAGAACGCTAACTTTTAGATGGTAGAGTCAATTTTAGTCAATTTAAGTTATACATTTTTATTAAAATATTTTGAACATTTTTGTTTTATGATACTTTTGAAATCTTTGAAAGCTTTTTCAAATATGACGATTACGAATCCAATCCAATAAATTCTTGAACACGATTTTCTCAAACTCAACTCAACTCTTGAAATTATCAAACCCAGCCAGAAAGGAATTGAGTCTTTGGCACAAACTCAAATTTTCTAGTCCCTATATCTTTGTAAACTGATGGTGTAAACTTTTGATATTTCAAACTAAGATTATTTGATCTTACAGAATTCATAGCTTGAAATATTTAAGGTCTACATCATCGGGTTTTAAGGATGTAGTGAGAAGAAAATCAGAGTTTGTGGCAAAGACTCAATTCCTTTAGAATCTTAGTTTACAATGAACATTTTGATGTTTGTCTTGCTGGGCAAATAAAAATCTACAATTTAGCATTACAAATATAACAAGTTTTATTTTATTTACATAAATCACAATATGCTTTCAGATATAACGTTTATAACATTATTATGATTAGATGAGTTATTATTATGCCTAAACATTCACGTTTTAACCCTATTCCTGCTGGGAAGGGGGTCAATTTGACCCCCCCCCCTGTAGTTTTTTTTATTAGACCCCACCCCCCCAGCATATCCTGGTTTTCAAGTACCCCAGCAGGGATAGGGTTAAAAATGCTCAATTGCTGTGTTAGAGCATGCCCATCTTGGTTTGCTGTGTATATCAAGTGGAATCACCGTCTAACAAGAAATGTCGCTTTTTGGTTTTGAAAAATGAAAAATATCTCTCTTTTTGATTATCACTGCAAAGCGTCAATAAAATTCGGCTTTTGAGAAGCAGACTATTGCTGGTTTTGAAAATGATATAACTATGTAAATGTGAATGGTTAGAACGTGAGGAGTCGGAGGATCAATGATATCTATAATTTCCATACTATCTCGCTTATATTCCGTACATGAAATCATTGCATATTTTTTATTGTAAAATTAATGTGACAACTCGTCGTTATTTTCAGATTTAAGGTTTTTTATTTATATATTTTTTTAATCGGAACTTAGCCAAATTTTCCCCCTGGCCTGGCAAAGATGCCTCCTGGCAGAGTTTAATTTGGCAAATTCCAAACAAGTAACTTTGTCATTTGGCCAAATGTTTTAATAGCAAAGAGCATGCTGCCAATATTTTGCATGAAAAGCTGCCCCTGGCAAAATAGTTGAATCAAAATGTCTGAACTGAATTTGATATTAAATCTTTGAAAATGATACCCCCGTAAATTTCGCATGCACTAATGATAATCATTATAGATAAATTTATTAATCTCTTTTTAGCATATAGAGAATATATATAGATAAATAGACGGATAAATATATAGATTAAATAGACGGATAAGTATATAGATAAAATAGACGGATAAATATACAGATAATATAGACGGATAAATATATAGATTAAATAGACGGATAAGTATATAGATAAAATAGACGGATAAATATACAGATAATATAGACGGATAAATATATAGATAATATAGACGGATAAGTATATAGATAAAATAGACGGATAAATATACAGATAATATAGACGGATAAATATATAGATTAAATAGACGGATAAGTATATAGATAAAATAGACGGATAAATATACAGATAATATAGACGGATAAATATATAGATAATATAGACGGATAAATATATAGATTATATAGACGGATAAATATACAGATAATATAGACGGATAAATATATAGATTATACAGACGGATAAATATATAGATAAATACCTGTACCAAATAAATATATAGATAAATACCTGTACCAAATAAATATATAGATAAATACCTGTACCAAATAAATATATAGATAAATACCTGTACCAAATAAATATATAGATAAATACCTGTACCAAATAAATATATAGATAAATACCTGTACCAAATAAATATATAGATAAATACCTGCACCAAATAAATATATAGATAAATACCAAATAAATATATGCCCCCCCTTTTCCACTACTTTATAATTTCTCTTTTATAAAGCAAAGCGTTTTTATTATTCAAAGCTTATAAAACTGTTCAGTTTTTAATTTTACCCCTCCCTCCTTTTATGAACAAATTTATTGAAATCCACGCCTTTTTCTGAAAAAAATATGTTAATTTAATAATAATAAAGTAAATTCTAATTATTTCTCAAGTATAAAGGGGTTAAAACTGCTGTTGTCAATCATTAAATGCACTTTTATACAATGTACTATTTATTTCAAGTTTATTATCAGGCCCCCCCCCCTCCTAACCACCCATTTGCGTATTTTCTAATCGGGATTGTGCATCAATCTTCTAATTCTACTTCTAGCTAATCAATTCCAGTTGTTCACTGTGCCAACTTCACGATAAAATGATACCTTAAAGAAACCAATATATGTATCATGTACAAATTAAATATATATATATAGGGTTTTCCAAAAAATAATACCTTTTCAAAACGTTTTTTTACATTATATCTTTACCAAGCCACTCTCTCATTTTGGACTTGTGGGAGAATATTCTGTTGAAGACTGCAACTTTTTTTAGACTTTTAAGTAAAATATGTCAAAATTTTAGCAAATCGGTCTAGACAAACTAAAATAAAATATTACTATATTATAGATATAAAGGAAGTGCCACAAACTCTGATTTTCTAATCCCTATAACTTTGAAAACCAAACGTCGAATACCTTAGGTATTTCAAATTATGAATTCTATCAAATCAATTAAACTAAGATTGAATAAGCAAAGGTTTACACCAACAGGTTGCTTAGGATAGGGAACAGAAAATTTGAGTCTGTGGCAACGGCTCAAATCCTTTACTTATTTTTGTATGATTTTCTTGGAAAACTTTCAAGTTTCAACAGATTATTATAACTAATCGTTTATAAAACTATAGAATCCCCGATTCTCCGATATCTTTAATTTATTCATAAAACTTTTTTTAACTGGTCACTTAAGCGCAGGCTTTGATGATTAGTAAGTAGCATGCAATCAACTTTTAAACTAATTAATTTGGTTAAATTTCATAGTTTTTGTCTCCCCCCCCCTCATTACACCAAATTTTGAATGTTTAATTAGCTGGCCTAGACACTTAATAACCCTTCATATCTAATTAATTAATAATAATTTTTACCAATTCTGTTTTTGGAAAAATATTTTAAAAAGTTATTGATAAAAGTTACTTTTTGGAAACTTTTGAAAGCAAGGATTTGATTTTAAATACCAAAATCTTTTTTATTTCTTTTTCAGCGAAAAAGATTTGTATTTTTAATTATAAAAGTTTTTTTCATATGCCTCCTAAAACGTAAACATAAATATTGAACTAATATTCTATTTCAGAATTCAATGGATTAGATTTATATAAATGTAAAAAGCTGTCCAGAGGTCCACATTAAGGACAGTTTTAGGGTTGGGGGAGTTAAAAAAGGGCATGAGGGTGTTTAAGGGATGAGGGGAGACCTCAAAAATGAGTTGGACTGGCCTAGAAGTTTATTATACTCCAGGTAGGACAAATTAATATTTACAACAGCATCCTTCAAAAGACAATATCATTATTCATCCGAAAAATTTTAATGAAATTTTCAAAAATAAATTACAGCTTTCAATCCATAATAATGTCTAATAATGCTTAAAAATAAACAAAATCAAGCAAATATAATTGCAAAATATTAAGGTAAAAATTTTTTGGAAATTAAAATGGTGGAACAAAATTGCGACTATAGAATCAGCTGTTTAGGTTCTCCTGGCTGCCGAGCAGTGTTGATGTGTATACGGGAACTAGAACTAGAAGTAGAATTAATAAAACTTGACATGTATCAAAAATATGAACATAAAAAACCTTGGTTCATTCGGGTAATACTAATTATTACCATTATTATTATTGTTATTATTATTATCGTTATTATATTATTCTTGTTATTCTAGATGAACCCCCAGCACACAGTACCAACTATAAATGACAATGGCTTCATCCTCTGGGAAAGGTAAAATTTTAGTTTTAAGAAAAACATTTGTTTTTCAGAACTAAAAAAATTGTTCTCCGGCTTTTGTCTTTTTCCGCTTTGCTGCCGAGATCAGAATAGCCGGCAAAAAACGGAAAATGACCTAAGCAGGGGAATAACTGCAGCATGCAGAGAAGCAGCATGATAAGGAGCAAAAGCATGCAGAGGAGCAGCACATGGAAAGAAACAGCAGCATGCAGAGAAGCAGCAGCATGCAAAGGAGCAACACCATGGAGAGGAGCAGCATTACACAGAGGAACATAATCTTACAGAGAAGTATCAGCATGTAGAGGGAAAGCACGAGGCAGTGAAGACTGAGCAACACCATCTAGGGGAACAGCAGCTTGCACATGAGAAGAAGCATCATGCAGAGAAGACAAAGCAGCAAGCTAAGAGAAGAAGCAACAGGATGCTGAGGAGAAGAAGTAGCTGCATGCAGAGCAGACAAAGCAATATGCTAGGAGAAGAAGCAGCAGCATGCAGAACATAAAAGGCAACGAAGCAGCAGTATGCAGAAGAGACAAAGCAGCACGCGAAGAGAAGAAGCAGCAGCATGCAGAGGAAAAGAATCAGTAACATTCAGAGAAGAATAAGCGGCATGCTAGGAGAAGAAGCAGCAGCATTGAAAGGAGATGAAACAACGAAGCAGCAGCATGCATGAAGAAGAAGGAGCATCATGCCCAGGAGAAGTAGCAGTGTGGTAAGGAGAAGAAGCATCATACCTAAACACAGATTTAACAATGCACAATTTAAACTCTTAGTTTAATGTAAACCATCATACATGACATATTGATTTGTTTAAAAATAATATGAATTGTTCAATTTGAAGGTTTAACGGTTTAAAGATCATCTATGCTAGATCAAATCGTGATCGTATTTAAAGTAAAATATTTAGACATCTTCAATTCTACGTATGACCTCTAATGTCAAAACAATCTTAGATTAATCTTATTGCTTCAGTGTTAAATATTAAATCTTCATTAGACTTTAGAAAAAAACCTGTTTATTTTTCAGTCGAGCAATAATGCAATACTTAGTCTCCAAATATGGGTCCCATAAGGTAACTTTTAACATAATCATCATTAATAATACTGTCTTTAATGCAAAATTTAATTTTTTATTCTTTATTTCATTTGCCATGTCAATAATTTTATTATCATCATCATTATCATTATCATATATTTATCATATCATAAACTGTATCACTAACATATCATTATTTTTCTTTTAAATTTTATATATATTCATAATTTCAGAGTGAACTGTACCCTACTGAACCTATGGCTAGAGCGGCTGTTGATAAAATACTATTTTTTGACATTGGAACCCTATACAAATCCTTAGTAGACTACTTTGTAAGTAAAATAATTGATGATTTAAATAATAATAATAATAATGATAATTTCTAGATATCTTATGTTTATCAATCTTTACTTATTATTATCAGCATCCCCAACTAATGTCTGGGGAGGAACCTGATGAAAGAAAAGGGAATGCTTTCAAACAGGCCTTGGACTACCTAGACCAATTCCTTGAGACTAGTAGGTATAGCTCTTTTTGTAGTACTTTCAAAGCTTTAGTCTTTTCATGTTTCTTTCGAAGTCCTAGCCTTAAATATGTATTATATTCCTCTCATTAGTCTGTTCTTAGAATTAATCCTTCATTATTCTTATTTATTTTATTTTCTTAGCTCTTGATTTAATAGAAATTCAATTGACTAAGCCATATTGTAGTCTTGGCTAGAGACACTTGATACTTATAGTACTTTTGTAGTCTTGGCTATGATTCTTTTGTAGTTCTAGTCATATAGGTTTATTAGACTAGTGCTTTAGTCCTCGCATTAGTCCATTCTTAGTTTTAGTCATTTACTTAGTCACAGAATCTATGTAGTCTTGGTCATTGTTTTTTAGCATTCATATTTTTGAAGTCCCAGTTAATACCACACGCAAATCTGCCTCTTTAGTAAAAGTAAATTCAACCTTTATAAAGCATAAAGTCTGACCGCGTCAACCTTGTTGCACCGGCTAGTCCTGTTCATAGAGCTAGGTACAGTAAAAACTGGGACCGAAAAGGTTTACCCGGCTCGGAAATTCAAATGTGACCATAGTTCAGAATTCGTATAACATTTTTATATTCCTATAGTTTTTGTAATTCAAATTTTCCAGTATGAGTCATAATTCTCTTTAGTCTTGGGAATGATTCTTCAGCAGTCATATTTTTATTTTTTTTGTTCTTAGTTTGAACCCGTTGATTGTGTTTGTCATAGATCATCTTTATTTTGTTCATGGCTTGTTGGTAATCTATAAGAATGTACTGCAGATTGCAGTGCAGAATTAATATAAAATGTAAACATTACATATTTGTAGATATGTGGCAGGGGATACCCTCACCATTGCAGACATTTCAGTTCTAGGTAAATACAATAACTCCTGGTTCAATTCTAATAATTTTCTTTTTGTATACATTGCAAAACAATAACAAAGAAATTCACGGATTTTGCAAAAAAATTTCGTGGATTTTTTAAATTTAATAAAATGGAATTTATTTTTAAATTTTTGATTATCCATAAACCTTCCCTGGGGTCACGTAACATCCCACACAAAATTTGGGCCCGATCGGTTTAGCCGTTTTGACTGTTAATTGGGTACAAACATGCAAAGCGACATAAATAAAATAATAATATATTTATGAATAAATGGCTGATCCCGAATGGTGCTTATGACGACTTTAATAAAAATGAGGGATTAAAAGAGAAATAGTATCAAATGTTGATGCACACTTTTCAAAACTGTTTATGCTCGGTGAATTATAAAAAATATAATTTTTTCAGGCATTTGTATAAATGGGTAGAGCGATTAAAAAAAGAGCTTCCTTACTACGATGATTGCAATACAGGTATTCTGGAAAATCAATAAATCAACCAATCAATCAATAAATCAACCAATCAATCAATAAATCAACAAATCAATCAATAAATCAACCAATCAATTAATAAATCAACCAATCAATCAATAAATCAACCAATTAATCAAAAATAACTTATTATCTAAAAAGAACAAATATAGCATAGAAACCGTTTATTGAAAGACATGCCAAAGAGTCGCTTTTTACAGACAGGACATTATACTACAAAAATACGACATTTTTGCAGACAGGACATTATACTACAAAAATACGACATTTTTGCAGACAGGACATTATACTACAAAAATACGACATTTTTGCAGACAGGACATTATACTACAAAAATACGACATTTTTGCAGACAGGACATTATACTACAAAAATACGACATTTTTGCAGACAGGACATTATACTACAAAAATACGACATTTTTGCAGACAGGACATTATACTACAAAAATACGACATTTTTGCAGACAGGACATTATACTACAAAAATACGACATTTTTGCAGACAGGACATTATACTACAAAAATACGACATTTTTGCAGACAGGACATTATACTACAAAAATACGACATTTTTGCAGACAGGACATTATACTACAAAAATACGACATTTTTGCAGACAGGACATTATACTACAAAAATACGACATTTTTGCAGACAGGACATTATACTACAAAAATACGACATTTTTGCAGACAGGACATTATACTACAAAAATACGACATNGTCCCTTTATTTTTATTTTGTTTCAGCAGGTATTGAGACCTTCAGGACTTGGACCAGAAACCAGAGATTGAGCAAGAAACTTGGATCAAAATAAAAAAGAAATTAGAAAGTTTCAAACAGATTTTAAAACACAAAAAAAAGTGATCAAAAATTCTTATTCTTGTATTATTGTAACTTGATGTTGTAAACCTTCGAAAATAAAAGGAAATTTATTCTTTACCACAAACTCTGATCGATCTAATCCTTTTTTCTTTGCAACCAAATTCGCAGACCTTCGATATATCAATCTTAGAATCATGTTAGATCAAATAATTTTGATTTTAAAATGTCAATGGTTTACACCGTCAGGTTTCAACGATATAGGGATTAGAAAATTTATTCTGCGGGATCTAATTGTCAACATTTGAAAAATTAAAGGTTTTGTCATCAGATTGCAATGATATGGAAATGAGAATATTAGAGTTTGAGACGGGTATTCAGTTTCTTAAAGTTTTAAATTAACTCAGTTCTAATATTTTCGTTTCGTTGAGTTGGTTGGTCATTTTTCTAGCGTAAAGCTTAAAGTTGATAATTACTTAAGACAATTAAAAGGATGCTATACAAATATATTAAAAATAAAAATATCATTTAATTGTTTTAATTTTAAACTCATATTAATTTTAATATTGTGAGTAACCAGTTAATGCAATTATTGCTATGAAATCTGTATATGTAAAAAAATTTACAATCATTATTTTAAAATATTTCTTTGAAGTGTAATAGTACCATTTTTTAAAAGTTTGATTACTTTTTATTCTGTAAAAACATATTTAAAACTTATTTTTAAGTAAAGATATCATTTAAAACATTTCCTGGTCTTACAGTTAAACTATCAAGTCTTTCATTCTGATTTTTTAGAACATTTTTTAGAAATGATTTTAATTTTGCTTTATGCGCGATGTTACTAAAATTCTAGGTTTATCCGAGACCGAATTTAATGAATTTGAGCAGCGTTGCTGAAGCACACACTTCCGATTCAAAGTGAAATATTCAGGAAAGATTTATCGGTGCGTGATTAAAATTTGAACCAGCGGTAGGCCAGTTCAATGACTACTCAAATTCATTAAATTCGGTCTCTGAATTAACATTTGCTTTTCTGCTGATTAAAAAAGAAATAAAATTCTTAAATTTTATTTTATTGCTTTTTTGTTAAAACAAAAAAAATAAGTTTTTAAAAGTTTGCAAATGTACACTTTATTAATAAGGATTTAGTTATTTCTTATAAGTCATTGTCCATATGTAAACATACTTACAACCAAGGTTATAATGCAAGGAAAGTTAATTGCTGTCCTGTATACTCTGCGTACATATTAAAACCAGTTCTCTTTGGGTGGAATTAGTAAACAAGAATAGATGCATCAGTGTTCGTTTAGTGTCCGAGAGGATTAAAAACATTTAATTTTGATAACTTTGAAAATTCACATAATAGTTTCCTATGACCAGAATATTTCATAGATTATGTTTGTGAAAATTGATTCCATGTCAGGCTTCTTGTGTTTTCTTTTCCGCCCAAAGACAGTACACTGCAGTACAAAAAAATGCAAACACCTCTGAAATAACTTTCCTTGCATTAGTACCTTGCTTACAACTATTTCTTTTTTTGTTTTTAATGTTTATTATTTTTATATTTCACTTATAGAGGCAACCACAGTTTAACTTGTTTTCCCTGTAATTCCCATTAAAAATACACCATGAGACCCATCAAACTATTGAAAATGAAGACGATTGTTCATTCAAGTTTTATGTTGTCCAATGAACATCAACCATAGCAATTGTGCAGTGTACACAGATCCAATTCATTTAATAACTTTAATAAGTAAAATTATTTCCTTTACTGCAAATAGATTATCAAGTACAATAGGTGGCCACAGAGAAAAGGACCAACTGTACACGACGTCACAAGTGTCAAATATAACAAGGAATAAGGGAATTTTCTCACATTAGTTGAAATGTTTTTTAATATTAAATAAAAAATGTAAAAACAAAAAATAAAGAACCCATAAAATTGCACTTGTTTTACTGTAAAAATTATTAAAAATTTTGTCGGACACAAAAACTGAATTGACACTTGTGACGTCAGAATACAGCTGTGCTGAGAGTGTACAAATCCTACGTTGCAATCTATTGTAGTAGAATCTATTTGCTTTACTGTAATTCCATCCTCCCAAACCTTGAATACCTCTTAAGGACTTCTGATTTAAAAAGGCAGTTTAGCTTGATTTCTCCCTCTAGTATAGGAAGTTGAGCTAAAACCTCCTTGTTATACTTCTCTTACGACGCATTTACTCTGCATTGAAACATTTATCATTCCTTTATAAGGAAGGAAAAGTGCGTTTCTAAGGTACCATGGGGGCGTTTTCCGACAGCTTCCTATTTGAGGAACTCTGGATGGAAATGACCTCTCTGCCTTAGAATTAGATTTTTCCTTTCTCTTTGAGGGATTATATTCGGGTTCAAAGTAGAGTAAATGCGTCATAAGAGAAGTATATCAAGGAGGGTTGGGCTCAGATTCCAATTAGAGGGAGAAATCAAGCTAAACTACCTTTTTAAATCAGACGTCCTTAAGAGGTATTCCAGTTTTGGGACGATGGAATTACAATGCTTCTAAAACATCTAATACAGTGTCGTCTCCCGAATCTTTTAAGTGTCTCACTGTGTGAGTTTTATGTGTTTATACAAAGAGTTATGTTTTGATAAATTTTATAGTTTTGCGAAGCAATAAAGACGTTTATTCTGACAGTTTGTTTATGATAGGAGAGCTAAGGTGAAGGGTTTTGGATTTTTAAAAATGCGTAAAAATCATTTTTTTGTTATATGATGAGTAATTTGTAGAATTTCTTTTTTATCCGATTTTTGTAGATTTTTTTCCGATTGATTTCATTTGTATTTTTTTTTTGATATATACATATATTCACAATTTAACTAAGCTATCCTTGAAGCAACATATCATAATTAGGGTCCGGTAGAGATATATTACCCCCTCCCCCCCCCCTCTAAAGATGGCAAATCCCAATTCACAATGGAACCCCTGAAACCCAGGTCTGATCAAGAATGAAAACTTCAATATTTATAATTTGAAAACGGATTATTTTCAATTGTGGTTTCTCAACAAAAGTGACGATTGCGCATTTCTTGATCAGATGCAGCCAGTAGGTTTCAAGAATTCCGCTTTGAATTGGGCATTGCCATCTCTGCATGGAGATTAGAGGGTCACTTGAAATTACGCTTACAATCCCTTTAAAGGTTTTAATTTATGTACCTTGGCAGTTTTGTACTTTTTCTTTTAGGAGAATAATTTTGCTCAATAATTTTTTAAGGGCATGAAAATAAAGCGCTTGAAAAATGATTACAAAAACCAAGGTTATAATGCAAGGTAGTTAATTGCCGTTGCGTATATTCTGCGTACACATTGAAACCAGTTCTCTCTGGAAGGAATTTGTAAACAAGAATAGATGCATCAGTGTTCGTTAGTATCAGAAGAGGTTAAAAGCATTAAATTTGATAATTCACATAATAGTTTACATGACCAGAATATTTCAGTCATTTTTTATGTGAAAGATCCCATGTCAGGCTGTGACATCCGTTTTGTGTTTACATTACCGCCCAGAGACAGTACACTGCAGTACAAAAGATGCGTACACCTCTGAAATAACTTTCCTTGCATTAAAACCTTGATCAAAACATTATGAGTGTTACGTGTCTTCTTAATTTTTTTTTACTTTTACTTCAGCGCCTAAATACTTATAAAGTAAAAAATGAAAAATAATATTCGACGTCTAATCTATCTATATTCGCTGGGGGGGGAGGGGGTGGATTGTATAGTATATATTTATATAACAGACTTGATGAAACTGTAAAGACTAGATGACCGGTTTCCAATTTTCCATATTAGGCTGCTATCTTCAACTAGTATAGTTACCAAATACCTAGACCTTTTATTTAAAACATTATTTATAAAATGTATAATCAGACTTTTACAAATGTGACAAAA